TGCTATTGATGGCAAGACACCATTTGAAAAATGGTACGGAAAGCCTGTTGTAGATTATGACTCTTTGCACGTGTTTGGCTCAACTGCATATTATCATGTGACAGAGTCAAAATTGGATCCAAGGGCAAAGAAGGCTATTTTTATGGGGATTACTTATAGAGTCAAAGGATACCGCTCATGGTGTCCTATGACAAAGAAAGTAATATTTAGCATGGATGTTACCTTTGATGAATCCGCTATGGTAAATAAGGTAACAGAAGATACCAAACAAAATGAGGGTGCTTCTAATTAGGTGGAGTTTGAGGGAAAATTTATTTTTCCTACACAAGAAGCAGAGGAGGAAACAAATGAAGATTATCATCTGGAAGAAGAGACAGTAGAGAGGGAGATTCCAACTCAGGAACCTCAACAACAACTTGAATCAATTGCAACTAGCAGGCCAAAAAGGACAATAACAAAACTTGTTCAGTCTTATAGAGACGGTTGCTTGTGCCGCCTCATTTGTAGCTGATGATGTTCCTACCACTTATAAAGACGCAGTCCAAAGTTCAGAAGAAGATACGTGGAGGATTGCCATGAATGATGAAATACAATCCCTTCATCAGAATCATACATAAAGATTGGCCAATCTCCCGGAGGGAAAGAAAGCAATTGGGTGCAAATGGGTATTTGCAAAGAAAGAAGGATTTCCTAACCAAGAAGATGTTCGCTACAAAGCAAGATTGGTAGCCAAAGGATATGCTCAAAAGGAGGGAATTGATTACGATGAAGTGTTATCTCCAATTGTAAAACATTCCTCCATTAGAATTATGTTGGCTTTGGTAGCACAGTTGGATTTGGAACTAGTTCAAATGGATGTAAAAACTACGCTTTTACATGGAATCTTGGAGGAGGAAATCTACATGACTCAGCCAGAAGGAATCAAAGTTGCTGGAAAGGAAAATATGGTGTGCAAACTTGAAAAATCGTTGTATGGATTGAAACAATCTTCTAANGGATTCTACGGTATATTCATAATACTGTAGATGTTGGGTTAGTTTTTGAGCAGAAATGCAATCAATCTGTAGTTGGATATTGTGACTCTGATTTTGCGGGTGACCTGAACAAACGAAGATCAATTACTGGTTATGTGTTTACTTTTGCAAAGGCACCAATTAGTTGGAAGTCTACCTTACAGTCAACAGTTGCTTTGTCTACAACAAAGGCAGAGTACATGGCTATTACAGAGGCTGTGAAGGAGGCAATTTGGCTTCAGGGGTTGCTAAAGGAGCTTGGTATTGGACAAAAAAGTATCACAATTTTTTGTGATAGTCAAAGTGTTATTCAATTAGCGAAGAACCAAGTTTATCATGCAAGGACGAAGCACATTGATGTTCGGTATCATTTCGTACGAGAAATCATAGAAGAAGGTGGAGTCACGGTAAAGAAAATTTATATTAAGGAAAATCCTGCTGATATGCTGACAAAAGTGGTGACTGCGGTCAAGTTTCAACATTGTTTGGATTTGATCAACATTGTTGAACACTGAAGATTGAAGATGAAGACACAACCAAAATTTGTTATTGAGAGAGAATTGAAGATGTGGAATTTTGCCAAGGTGGAGATTTGTTGAATATGCTAATATCCCACATCGGTTGGGAAATAAATTGGGTTGGTACTTCACCCTATAAAAGAAGGCCTAATGTTTAGGATTTATACACACCTCTCATTTGCCTTCTTATCTTCTCAAGGCATTTGTGTCTTCTCTCTTTAGTATTATTTCACTGGTATTTTGGAGTGGAATAAAATATTGGTTGTGTCCGAGGAAGTAGGCAAAATTGGCCGAACCTCGTAAATTCTGATGTTCCTTTTATTGTTGCTTTATTGTCTTATTTATTATTTGGTGGCTGTCATAATTTTTGGTATAGTAGTTGTGACTCATTCACACTATATACATTTGGCTTCCGCAACAGAGCCCTCGTGTCATATTGTTCACGCTCCAAATGTCCAATTCTGGGCGGGTAGGGGTGGCGGGGAGATGTCTAAGTGTCCCACAATGGTGGAGGAAAGGGGTTATTGTCTCCTTATGTGGTCTTGAGTAATCCTCACCTCACGACCTAACTTTTGGGCTTGAGTTACACTCAAAGTCTACTTAAAAAGGTATATATATATATATATATACCTCATTATTTTCTCACCCTCAATACTGTCTTATTGGTAAACGCGTAGCGTGTGACGTGTGGGTTACAAGGTTACACACACGTCATATTTCAAAACCTACCGCAGACAATAGCTTGGTATTCAAGTGGAAATGATTAGAGGGCCGAGCTCAGTATGCACCGAGTTCCGAACTGTGCGCCACTGACCCTCGGAGATTTCTTAGTTACCAAACTACTCCTCTCTCATTTTAAGTGTCGTTTTAGCCCAATAAGAATATTTCAAATTATCTGTCGCTTCTGAAAACAAGACAAAAAAATGTTCTCTACCAATTTTGCCCTTCCTATTAAAGAGGTTAAGTGATTAATAGTACTCGCTTTCCAATTCATAAAATTATACGCTGTACTTGGATGTTTAAAATGGGCAGAGTATATACGCGCACACACATATATATACATATGTATGTATATATATATATATATACACCTAATCGTTAAGCAGTATAAATGGTATTAAATGTAATAAGAAAATACACGTAAATGTACAGTAGCAGGTTTCCAGATTGCATCAGAAACCCTAGTAGAAGCACCGTGAACCCTTTTATTCTAAATTCATTCCAAAACCCTACAAGATTCACGAGTAACCCATTTGGTTAAAACAGATTGGAAATAGCCACTCCACAACAATCCATTGGCATAGTTAACGCGAGTGTTAAGAGAGCATTAGAACAGTAGAAAGTTAAGATGTACGTTGGCTGGTTTTCCAACTTGACTATTGCGAGGAAACACGATAACTTTCAAAAGCAAGTCAAACCTCATGACTTTAGACATGAAAATCTTGACCATGTAAAGAAGGAAACAGCAATTACATTAACTGAAAGAACCAATGCATCAACTAAAAGAAGATGTCTGCCTGCATTTCTCAACTATTGAAGCCATTCAGACTAAACAAATTTCGGCAGTAAGAGTACAGCAGCATACCTTTTCCTCCAATTTTCTTTCAGTGAATAACACCAATTGCTTCATCTTCTCTAGATACTGTACATTGTCATGCCTGAACCACAGACATCACGAGCTAGTAAGAAGGATAATCTGTGCTTATATACATGCTAGCCTACTGACACGCGCAATCTGGTTGCATCACACAAATAGCAACAAAAAAGAAACATTGATCGATGTCACATTACAATGTAATAATTGGTAATTATCTCGAAGAAAATTATAAATCTTAAAATTTGTTTACGTTTCTCAATATTGCGTCCAAATTTGGTGTTGGAAGAGTCACAGGCAAAAAATAAATCGCATTTACCATATGCGACTTGTGCAGAAGGCGAGACAATCCAATTAAAAAACAAGCATTAATAATTTCCTTGACAAATTTGTTTGCGATGGATGTACATTTTAGACAACTTTGGCAACAAAATAAAACAGCATATACCTTTGACAAATTGAAATATTGGGCAGATTCTGATAATGGAAGGAATTTGCAACCCATAACAAAAGCTTGAAGTTGCAAGACTTCCATTGTTCTAATAACTATACCTACTATATACTAATCACAACTCTTGGAAACCCAGAACACGGCCATGGAACTGCAGAAGTGAATGTCGCAGCAGATTTATCAGCACTTAACATTCTTATATGTGCTTACAAAAGCAACAAAGACAATACCAGATAAGACATGGTCTGCAAGGAGACATGTCTATTTAATTGAGATAGTGCTGGACAACCTTGTTATTGTTGCAACTGAGGTAGAAGTCAAACGACCTAGATTTACTTTATAAACCATTTACAATAAGAGAGATTGGAAAACACTCCTATTAGAGTGCCAAGTGTTAGTGTAGAATGTTAGAGCTTTGAGAGTAAGAAGAGTTGAGCTCTTTGGATCTTGTCCCACACTGGACAAACATTTTATTTTACAGCAATACTGCTATATTTTATCATCAGGTCATCAGTATTTTTTCTTCTCTTCTCTGATCTTTCTTATCTCACAACCTCTATGATCCTGGTACAGAGTCAAGTAACTTTTGCCTGCTGGTGGACAACCATATGAGAAAATAAGAGAACAAAGAGATATTCTGAAGATAAGCTGCTGCCACGGATACAAGGAACACCTATTTATAGGAGTTAGACACAACACACGTGATATTTGCCCAATGTGTGACAAAACATCTTAATTCTTCTAACACACTGATTTTAGGATTATAACGCTGACACTTAACTTTCTAACATAGCCATGGGTAATAAAGACAAAAGAAAAGTTGGAAACCAAATCCAAGCCACCTCATCCAAGCCACCTCATCAAATGCCTATGCTTTATTTACTAGTATAGACATGGAGTTTTTAAGATCTCAAAACATAAGCCCCGACAACCTCATTCCCAGGGCCAAAAAGGGGAAAGAGCCTTCAATAGGCAATGAGTTACAGTAAGCCACGAGATGCATGAGAAAATTATCTGCATGCACTTGCAGCACATCAAATAAATAAATGTTGGAGAACTATACCTCAAATATAGCTGTATAGTGTATTCACCCTTTGGAAGCTTTGCGGAATCTGGATAAACATCACCCATAGCATGCACTCGCTACAGTATAGAAGGAGAGGATAGCAAGCAAGTATGGTCAAGATTACATGTATCTAATCCAATATGATAACAAACTTAACTATACTACCTGCACAGAAAACAAGTGAAATAATCCAATATTATTAATCTTTGCAGTAGATTGAAATTTGCAATTCCACTTCTTGAGTTAAACAATATTAATGCACAATGCCTTACGGTTGTGGTCCTAAATTCTTGACTAATATTTTGCACACTAAAAAACTTTTTAACTATTATGCAAATGTAGTAGATTATGCTCTTTGAATATGTAACTTCGCTTTATGAAGAAAGGGAATTAAGGCTGTGATGAGCTAGGTGCTATGACAGAAGTACTCCCTTTCTTTAGAACTGGCTCAATTTTACACCTAGCTTTCTTGCCATCCTCCATCAATGACGTTTCTAGCTTTCTTAGACTATCTGGGCCAGTTGGTTCAGTTATTTCCAGTTTTCACATCACAGAAGCTTAGCTTTATTATGTAGCTACATTCAATATTGCAAGGAGATTTTCTTTCTTCTTTTGATGAGTTCCTGCTGAATATATCAGCTAGTGTTGCTCGTGCATTAGCAAAACAATGTGACGGACACCCCTCATTATAAGCTCTGTTACACAGAATAGTAACACAAGATTACTCCCAGCATTCATTACTTTTTAAGAAGACCTCCTTAACTAAGCATTCTTATCTTCCACTCCGACGGCCATTACCTCTTGTTAATCCTGCTACAGCCCACATAATTTTCAAAACACGAAAAGAAGTATGAAATCCACTTTTCGTTTTTTCTTCAACGTACTCCT